GATCATGAGTCAGAAAATTCTGACAGATTCATATCAATTCAGATCAAGCAAGAAGTGAATACATATTTTTCAGTAGAAACTAATTACTTGGACAATTTCTCAAAATCTGTGAGCCTCTTAGATAAAAACAAATTGTTTTACATGATAAATGAAATTCATCAAACTGCCAGCTGTGTGGTACACTGAAAATAGATTTACTTGTGATACTGCTGTTTGTTCTAAGATAAAACAAAGAATCCCAGCTGCAGTAGCAAAGACAGATAAAACTGATTGAATGAGAGTGACTAAGCAGGGGCATCAGCGGTCCCTTGAAAATTATAATGACTAGATTTTTATCTGGCATTTTATAAAAACTCATTTTGAGGTATAGTACATCAGCGGTCCCTTGAAAATTATCACTAGATTTTTATTTGGCATTTTATAAAAACTCATTTTGAGGTATAGTCTAAATGGCTTTTAGGTCTTTTGTGTTTCAGTGAGTATTAACTCTAGCAATGTTATAGTAAGTGTGGTGCTAAGTTTCAGAAAAGATGGAGTCTAATCTTGGGTTTGCTGCTTAAGAGCTGTGGATTTCATTCAAGTTCTGGACCTCTGATTTTCAGTCATAAATAGAGGATTACATGATAATTTGCTATATGTTGTTAAGATTCCTTTCAGCTATGAAATTATTTTGGAAAATGGTGAAAATAAACAAAAAGGCTGGTCATCTGGCCCCCTTAGAAACATGATTATTTTATGACAGGTGTGTGAAATGGAGGTTATTATGGGATTCTCTGGTTCATTGAAAATCAGAACATAAAAAATGTGAAAGCTTTGATTTAAGTTTCTTTTTCTGTAAAACAAGGTATTATCACACTAACAAGTGATGTCTTTCAATTTACTGCTTGATATTTTGTGTTAGCTTGTCATTCAGTTATTTTTTTTTAAACCCTGGCAACTTGCTGTGGGTTTTATTTTGACCATATAGTAAAACTCTTGTGATCAAGCTATATAGATTGGTGCGTTGGCTGCCATCCTGAAAAACAATACCTGTTAAATTTTTTTTCTGGGTTGTAACACTAATAGTTGCATTTTATATGCATATGAAAGTCAACATATTTCAGCATTATGGCCATTTAAATTTGGAGTAACAGTGGCGATTTTAAGTACTGACCTAGATAAAAGAGAAACATAATAAAGTATCATCCTTTGGGTTGTTAATATGTACGTTTCACTTCTAGAATATAATCTAATAAACTCTTGTTAATTTTGACTAATTTAAAATATGATAACCTGGAAAAAACTTGGGTTTTTATATGCTTTCTTAAAAAGTTAATCAGGATATTAGAAAAAATATTCAAATAAGTAGATAAAAAGCCCAGTGAAATGCCTGGAGAGATGACCTGCCAATCTTCAGAGATGAAACTAGTTTGAAACATGAGCCCTTATTTCTCTCTCAGACCTTAGAAAAAAGCCCTTCAAGAAAGAAGGGCTGATATCTTTAAGTCAATAATACTAATTGATGTTCTCTTTGGCATTATAATATTCTTATCTGACTTTTTTTCTAAATCACTGTACAGACTATCATGAGGAAAAGAAAGTCTTAAATGGTAAGTCATACATTTATAGTGAAAAATGAATCATACTCATTTGATAATATATAATATTGCTTTACAGAATTACCCGGGGTGTTCAGATATATTTTTAGGCTAATGATGTCTTTACTTCCCAAACTTAAAGGATTGGCAGAACTCTATAGATCCCATATTCCAGCCATCACCTAATAGTAGTCCCCTCTATGACATCCCTGAACATGTGGTATCTGCCCTCAGCTTGAAGACTTGTAGTCATTAGGAAGCAAGACTGAACAAGTTACCTCCCTCAGCCATGTGAGGTCACCTCCAGTGTTTGCATACAGATGCTCATAGCCTGTTAACCCACTCTTCTCTAGCTGGGCTCAGCAGCAGTGCCTTCTTCAGCCATTCAGTATGACTTGGAATTATAACTGAACTATATTAATGTATGTGTAGTAATAGGGTTTTTTCTCTCTGCAAAAGAAAGTTTTAGAAAGTCAGCTAATAAGCTAAATTGCCAGATGAATTATCTGTATATAAAAAAAGCCTAAGTGACCGTCCAACCGTCCGACTGGTAGCTCCAGGGGGCAGATGCTCAATACAGGAGCTGCCAAGCTGTGGTGACTAGGCAGCTGTGGTTCTGGGGTTAGGTACCTAGAACCAGAGAGGAGGGAGC